AACAATCTTTTATGAAATTCTATTCAAAAGTATATAAAATTTTAAATTTAAGAAAAGATCAAAACCAAAATTGATAAGTTGATAAATAATTATAATTAAAATTTGTAACAATCATGTTATATATAAATCTGTATATATATGAAAAGCAGTCAGTAGAAAAAGGGAAAAATCCACTTTTTCGTCAAAAATTTTTTATTGATTTACTCTGCTAATCATAATCATGTGAATGAATCTAGCTTAATAACTAAAATTACTCAAAATTTGTAGATTTCCCTCTTTCTATTGACCGCCTTCATATATAAAATTAAAAATTATAATATTTTTAAAATAAAAATAAAATATTTAGTACAATCAGAATCTTAAATATCTCTTATTTAACTCATAAATATCATATAGTAAAATATGTTTTATAATAATTCAATTAATATCAATACTAAAAAATATAATTTTACTATTATTAGATTTCTTTTATCAAGATAATTCTAAGAATATTAAGATCTTGAAACATGTAATTTTCGTTAAAATTTACATATAAACTCTATGTAAACTCTAATCTAAGTTATATATAGGAATCAGTATTTCTAATTTATTCTGTAAGGTATGAGTTTTATTATAGATTATACTGCAATAGATCCCAGTTCAGCATCAGCTAAATGTAAATTATAATATTAATTTACTACAGATTTTACTGGTTAAATTTCAGAATTGAATTTTATAAAATGCATGCAAATTATATATATGAATAGATCATGAATTTGTAGAATATGATAATTTTTGAATCTATCTATGTAGTAGTATTAGTTTCAAGTCTTTCTATTTAAGGATAGAGGTTATAGTTAGTGGATTCACTAGAATTATTATGAAAAATGAAATCTATAGTATAATAGGGGCTGGTCTATATTGGGCAAGTGCTACATCATCTACTTAAGGTTAGCCTTAGAGTAGCATCTAATGGTAGATATGTGAAATGATAATATAAGTTATAAGTTCAGATAGTTGATTTTATACTATTTTAGTCATTATGTCTAAACCTTATGTTAGGAAGAGAGATTAGATTTAATTCTCAAGTTATTTAACAATATAGTGAATTTGGTTATTCTTTGAATTAAGAATAGTGTACCTTACTTAATCTTTTTATCCAGTAATATGATTAAAAATCTAATAATGTTAGAATACTATCTATTAGTCTATAAAGGTTTTTAGTTAAGATCTTATTCTAAATATGTTACCTATTAGGCTGATTATTAAATACACTTAACGTCATTAAAATATACTATGATAAGTAGTAAATAGATAAAATTATTATAATTTGAAGTCTAATTTGATGTCACCCGTTGATAAAATAGCTGAATCTATAGTCAGATCAGAAACTAAAAAAAAAGCTAAGTTATATTAGAAATTTTTAGAGTCCTATATAACCTATCTATTATTTTAACAATATTTTCTATAAAAAATTTTTATATATTGAATCAGATTAGTCTTCTTTTAAAGTTTTGAGTAGTAAATTGACTGTAATGACTTCTTATATTTTCTGTTACTATTTTTTTTTTTATTTTTATTAATATTTACATAGTATATATTAGTTAACTAGATAAATAAAGAATTAATAAATAAACTATGAATAAATCTGCTGACTATTTTCCTAAAATGATAAGGATATCTTAATAAAGTTTAGTTTTGTCTTTAAAGAAATTATTTTTTAAGAAAATCAAGAGTCTTGAACCATTGAGTTTAAAAATATATTTGATAAGATCATATACAAACTAATATAATCAGTCTTTATAAGAAATTATAACCTTGCGTTCATTTTATAACTTACTTATTTCAGTATAGTTTATAAGCTAGATCTTTTGAAGTTGTTACTAATTTTAATAAGTTTTGTGTTGAGAATATTATTATTGTCTTTTAAGTTATTTTTTTTTTTTTGTACTTAATACTTATATATAAATATAAATTTTTTTGCATGATAAAGAAGGTAAAAGAAAAGGCAAAGAAGAATATAGTGATGGTGATAGTTGCATTATTAAATAAAATTAAAATCAAACTGTCTGATATAGATATTTAACCTTCACATATGATAGAAAGATAATTTAATGATTATAGAAATAATTATATTAATTATTGGTTAAATGAACTGGACCAGTAAATATAAAAATCTTGCTAACTAGAATTTAAATTGATGATTTGAAGTTTGTTTTACAAATAATTATAATAGTAATTTTATATATCAAAATTTATTTTTTAGTTTATATTTATTTTTTATGATAAATATTAGTAAACACATATTATATACTAAAGAAAAAAAAGGTTAAGGAATTTTTCAAGATAATAACTTATTGAATAGAATATTTATAATATTATTTATAAAGGATAAATAAATATTTTTAGTAAAAAATCAACAAATATATTATATACTATATTTCTTCAAAAATAAGCAACCTCCAAAAATAAGCAACTCTTAAAATAAATAATATCTGAAAATAAGCAACACATTGAATATTTAATTAGTTTCACATTAAAACTATATGTAATATAATAAGAACATTTTAAATAATAAAATAAAGCTCAAATAAACAAAAAAAAAATATTTTATTAATAAATTTTTATAAAATAATTGCTTGCATCACTATCATAAAATACACATATTAATTGTAAAATTTTAACACAATTAAACATATTAATCATTTCTACCACTAATAACTTCATAAACCAGTTTGTGATGCATGTAATGTATATTAAATGATTAGTAATCATGTTGGAGTCATGTTAATTTTATAACATGAAAATCAAACTTTTAACTATATAGTATATTAAAAAAAATTTAACTACCTGAAAATAAGCAACTTTATAATAAAATTACATTGCTTATTTTTGGAGGAATACAGTATATTTATTTATTTATTTAAATATTAAAGTGCTAAACCTGAATATAGAAAAAGATGACATTGGTAATATTATCAAGAAGTTAAACTTATTATTTTATAGTGATTCTCAAAGTATAACCAAATATTATAAAAGTTTCTTTATGATATAAAGTTATAGATTATTATATACATTGCAAGCAAAAGTGTTAGATTTATTTAATTATTTGAAAACCTATTTTAATTAAGGATTTAACATTGTTTTTTAGTTAAATGTTAGTCTCTTAGAAGAAAAATACATATCTTTAATAACAAGTAAAATCTTATAAGCATTGATTTATTTACATAAATGTAAAATAATTTATTAGAATATCAAAGGTAAAAATTTACTTTCAAATTAATATTTTTTAATAAATGATTATAGTAACAAATATTTTATTAATAAAAGAAAAAAAGGTTTATTATGTAATTTTAATATGATAAAACAATTAATAGTTTCATTTGCAAAAAGAACATCATTTGTTAGTACACTGAATCCTTTTCAATTATTTGATAAAACATAAGATATGCTTTTATAAAAAGAATTTTGTTATGCTTTAGAAAAAGTTTAGAAAGGATTATAAATTATGAAATTAAATTTCAGAAAGTTGAAAATAAAAATCTTTAAATATTGATAGTATTTTAATATATTTATATAGTATTTCCTTAATTTACAAGATTTTTATAGATTTAAATAGTATCTGAAGTAATAAATGAGGAAGTAATTTATAACATAAAAGTTTGCAATTAAAGATGGGTTATAATTACATTCACTTAATAAAAATTAATTCATCATATTATATTATCAATAAAATTTAGACAAATATATGGTCATTAGGAATTACTGTAATCAAAATGATTACAGAAAATCCTTTTTATTATAATTTTAATTTTATAAAAACCATATAAATTATATTAAAAATTCTTTGTTTTAGCTGAAAGATAAATTTTCTGTTTATATAAGAGAACTGGTTTTTTTTATAAATGATTATTTAAAAAGGTAAATTTTTTTTTAAATTGAAAATTTTTTTAAGTAAAATTATTATTGCTTTTTGAGACCAGAGGAATCTAAATTCATAAAAAGTATTACAAAACATCTATTTATATTATTAAGAGAACTTATCACAAAGTATAAATAATGGAGACAGACCACTTGATTTTATCATTTATTTTAAGATTCTAATGGGACTCTGTTAAGATTTAAATAAATTTTATTTATATATATTTTGATTTAAATGTTGATCACTAATTTTTTTATTTGATTTTAATAAAAGTGATTCATATGATTTAAGGAAAAACAAAAGGAAGAAAAGATGCTTAAGTGTTTAATATAATTCAAAATACAGTAAATCATTATAAATCACATTTTTTGGGATCTCTTATCAGTAACAGATCAGTTATCTCTTATAATGGAAGGAGATGAGTAGCAAGGATTTATAATAAATAAAAAGCTAAATGGATGACACGAATAGAACTGTTGTGCTAAAAGATGGTAATTATCACAAATGTACAGTATACCATGGTGTAATTAAACCAAAACTATTTTTAACTAATCAAATCTATCTTTTAATTTGACATCAAATTGAAGTATTAACACTATATAAAGAATTTTTTTTTTATGCTTATATGATTTTGCACAAATGAAACAAATGAAGGATATGAACAATGATTTAAATCAATTTTTAAATTTTTTTAAAAAAAAAGTACATTATCATTACAAAACAAATGTCAAAAGTTCTTAATCTTCAAATCTAATTTTTGTAAGTTTCAAACTATGATCAACTTCCTTATAAAAAGCACCATATGCTTTATGTTCCTTCTTTTAATGGTACTACCAAATTTTTAATAAGGATTCTGGTACCTTTTGATTGGCTTGACGTAGAACATAGATAAGTTCTCCAGAATGTGCTTTATCATGTGGAGTAAAAAGAGTATGTGTAAATGAGAATTTCATATAAGTAGGATATTTTTTTTTAATTGAGATGAATTAATACTCATTTACCTTACTACCAGCGCCGCACAGTTTTACCAATCCGATGAACATAATCTTCTATAGTCAACGGGAAAGTATAATTAATTACATATTCCACATGGGAATATCTATACTCTAGTAGCGACATCCGTAGCTATCAAAAGAGGGTTAATTCCATTTTTGAAAGCATACAATGCTTCCGTGCGTTGGAATTGACATTTATCCCCATGAATCGACAGTACTTCAAACCCTTACGTGCCAACATATTTTCGACACGTGAAGCTTCTTTCTTGTAAGAAAGAAATACCAAAATTCTATTCTTATTAATGTAATATTGTTCTAGAAGATTTAACTAACGACGCGACGTTCCTTATCCGTGGCATTATCAATTACTTCAACAATTTGCGTGACATTACTATTTGCTGATAAATTGGGAGAACCAATAACATCCCTTCCACTTAAACAAATCGGCCGAATTTATTCAAAACGATTTTGATACTTTTGTCTATTTCCAATTGTGTAAATGACATGATCGATTAAAATCACCAGTGATTTGAATTTCAATTTTTTTTATAAAATTCATCATCACTAATAGTCTTTGATGTTTCGGTTTCTTCAGATTGATCTTCATTTTTCTTGCTTTTCTTGTTTTTCGCAATTTTCTCCTCATCTTCATTTTAATTTCTGTTTTCGGATGAATTGCCATCATCATCCACTTTTTTGTTTTTTTCTTTTATTATCATTTTTCTTAGTATTAGACTCCTCTTGTTCATTCCTTTGACTATAGTTGCCTGGCAAAACTCATTTTAGCAAATGGCAAAAGTCGAAACCCTATATTTCGACGGATTTGTCAATAAGTATATTGACTTTTGACGGGATTTTATTATGGTTACGAATTTCGACGGTTTTGCCAATAAGGTTTTATTATAGTTTTGTCAATGATGCAACTAATTTTTCGTCTTTTAGCTTTTTTTTATAAAATTTCTTTGATTATCCGAATCCATTTTCAGAAAAACCATTCCGATTCTGATGCAATTTTTTTTTTAAAAAAAATTATGAATGTTTGTGGCACATCACACATAAATAAAATAAAAAGTAAAACAAAAAAACAAAAACTACAACTATCCCCCGTGGCTCTAAAACGTTTTTTGCCGGAGTGTTTCTCCAAATGTTATTCATGATTGATTTGGCAATTTATTAAATATATATATAAAAGGACGTTCATCATAAGCCTGAAAAAAAACAAAAAACGTTTATTACTTATTCATGGAATTAAAATTATCTAGTCATCATTGCAATTTGTGTTGTTCTTGGGACAGCGCATTATTTAATCAGACAACGACATTAACTTACTAAATGGATAATTCGCGATGCGAATAAAGCTAAAGATGTACTTAATAACTACGACACTGCTTCTCGGGCAAAGTCAAATCAGAGATTGCATTTTACCTTTGGAATTTCAAATCCCTTTACCAATCCAGATGATAAGTATCGTCATGAATTCCGTAAAGTTATTACTAAATCCATCAATCTTGATGATAAAGAGTGGCAAATATTAAAGACATTGTTCTAAAAACCGTAAACGATTATACTCATTTGGAAACGAGTCAAGATAGTGTCGTTGTTCCATGGATTCAGCAAATAGCGTTAAATAATGTTGTTCTCCGTGGTTACTTAGGAATGACGAACATTGACAAAGTTATCGATGAAGTTCCCAGCATGATCAACAACTTTTGGCTCATATCGAAAGAACTCGATTGCATAACGGCAAGACAGGACGAAAATTTGATATTCATACTGGAAACAAAATTTGTCTGCTCAAAGATCTCTTCAATAGGGAAGCATCGTCAAGATCTCAACAAGAAAAGCAAAATGAGACCCGTAATGTGATGAAGGAAATCTCAAAGTTGCTCTTTCTCATTTCCAAGCGCTTTTAATAAAGTACCCTCAAGTGTTGCCGACACAACCGATCATTCCGAATTAAACAAAGGGTTCCATAATCCTTCAGGCGATGACTTAGTAAATTCTCTCAATGTTAATATTCCCGCGTATGAAACAATGTGGAGGTTGTTCTTTACGCTATTTTGGAGATCAAGATACGCCCCTTATTGAGAAACAAAGAAACCACTGAAGGGATTTATAATACCAACTTTGAAATCTCGGTAATGCAGTCAAAGTTCTTCTGGAAAATCCAAAGCCTAAAATACTGAAGCATGATTCCAGAGTTACTCCACTGTGGCATGTTATACAAGAAACCTTGCGACTTTATCTTCCAACACGACATATTCATCGGGAAAAAAAAGGTCTCAAGGTTACCGTCGATGTGGAGGCAATTCTCTTGTTTAAAGCCTAAGCGAATTCCACGAAAAGCCGGTTTGCGATCTTGAAATAATGTACTCGAAGGATTGGACAAAAATTAACTTTAAAATAATATAAATAATTCCACCAATCACATTTTATGTTGTACAACCTTTGCCATCACTTGCTCCATCAATTCTTTTGCAGACCTAAAGAACACTGTTAACGCCTTGAAAATGAGCGCTTTTCCGCACCAGCTAATCTATCAGCCGAACAATTCCTCAAATGGCCCTGTTTCACCAGTACATTCACCCACACATACACCGTCACCACCGACGACGTCTCCTGGACAAACTTCTCCGTCTATTAACTATCCTATTTCACATGGTGTTCCTGCAATATATGGTGGTGGTAACCTGCCCCTATTTTCCTTTCAAACTAAATTACCACATAAAATGCAACCACCTTTAAGCCATGCGTTTGGCCCACACCCGATCCTGAATCAAAATTCTGGTCCTCCTGGTCAATCGTTAATGCAACAAACAAGTATGACGGTTTCTCAACCTCAGTTAAACATTGCTTTGTCTACTTCTGTTACAAATCCTTTGTCTGTAAGTTCAGCACATTGGCAACAACAGCTTAATTACGCTCAGTTGTCTCGTCAATCGGCTTCACCTCACCACCATGCTCGTCAAGCCGCTGTCGCTGCTCGTAGCAGCCTTGGTAGTTCAGCTATTGCTATAACCGATCCAAATAATCCAAACAAAGCACCTTTAAATGGTATTCATTCAAAAAAAGAGAATGGTGAGAAACTTGATCAGCCATTTCAGCAATGGATGACGATTGATCTGGGTGGAATGGGACTTAAAAACATTAGCAAAGAATTATTTCGATACCATTTTCTTACAACACTTTACATAAGCCACAATAATTTGACTTATGTATCTCCGGAAGTTTCGAAACTAAGGTGCCTTACTATACTGGATATGTCAGGCAATAAATTATCAGTTCTTCCATCGGAATTGGGCATGTTAACGAATCTCAAGGAATTACTTTTGTTTGACAATATGCTTGTAACCCTACCTTTTGAGTTAGGTACTCTTTACCAATTGGAAACACTTGGATTAGAGGGAAATCCAATAAATGAAACTATAAAATCCATTTTGCAAAAGGATGGTACGTCTGCCGTTATACATTTTTTGCGGGATAATTGTCAAGGTATGTTTTTACAATTTGAATTGAAAATTAATTATTTTTAAGATTTAGCATACAATATTAAAATTGTTTTTTGAAATTATAAGTTCCACCACAACCAATGGAACGGGATTGGATAATGTTGGAGAATGAAGCTGGTGGAGATCGTGGTATGTCTCCTGTGGACGAGAATGAGCTTTAAACCAAAAGAAATGAATTAAAAAATAAAAAAAAAATTTCCTAAATTTAACGGGTAGCTTCGCACTTTGGTATCTGCTGGATTCATTTATTTTTTTCAACGTTTTTATAGATACCTTCACACTCCTTTGCTATAATATCCTATGTGATAAATATGCAACCACTCAGTTATATGGGTACACTCCTTCATGGGCACTTCAATGGGATTATCGAAAGGAATTAATTAAGCATGAGGTATTATCATATAATGCTGATATCGTTTGCCTCCAGGTTGGTTATGAAATATTTATAATTCTTTTTCGTTGTTCTTTTTTCCCCCTTAGGAATGAAATGAATCCATTCGTTTTGCACACATTTTAATTTATGTTAAATAGGAGGTTGATACATCTCAATATGACGAATATTTTAAAGATTCATTCAACGAGCTTGGAGATTATGACAGCGTATATTGGCCAAAGTCTCGAGCAAAGACAATGGCTGATTGGGAAAGAAAATCGGTGGATGGATGTGCGACATTTTACAAGAATTCAAAGTATTTTATTTATTAAAATAATAATAATGATAATAATAATAATAATTTCCTTTGAAATGGATTAACACAATCGTAAATTCTTATTCTAGGTATAAATTAATTGACAAACAATTAATAGAATTTAATCAAGTTGCGCTACAAAGATCAGATTTTAAGAAAACTGAAGATATGTTCAATCGTGTCATAACAAAAGACAATATTGCAGTAATAACATTGCTTGAAAATAGAGAGACCTTGTCTCGCGTTATTGTAGCTAATTGTCACATTCATTGGGATCCATCTTATGCAGATGTCAAACTTGTTCAAGTTGCAATGTTGATGGATGAATTAGATAAGCTTGGGCAAAAATGGTGTACCATACCTAATCATTCCTTGTATAATTATTCTTCGCCACAAAAGATATCAACAATTATTTGTGGTGATTTTAATTCAACTCCGGATTCTGGTGTATACGAGTTTCTTACTCGCGGTTCCATACGGCAAGATCATAATGATTTTGGTAATCATATTTATGGTTCATATACTTCTGATGGGTTATCTCACAAGTTATCTCTCAAGTCTTCTTATTCAAATATTGAAGAACTTCCATTTACCAATTTCACCCCAAGTTTCACTGGTGTAATTGATTATATTTGGTATAGTACAAATACCTTGAGTGTTACTGGATTATTGGGAGGTATAGACAAAGAGTATTTGTCTAAGATGGTTGGATTCCCAAATGCGCATTTTCCTTCCGAGTATGTATTATTTTGATAGATCGATTTCGTTAAATATTCAAATAATAAATCTTTTACTTTTTTATTTTCAGTCATGTTGTAATCTTGGCCGAATTCCGAGTTAAACCTCCACAGACGATACAACCACCGCCTCAATTTGGAATACCTAGTAGCAATTCACGGCGATTAAACAGTCAAAGAAAGTAAATGCAAGACATCCTTTTATTATTAAAAAAAAAAAAAAAAAAAAAAAGGAAATTTATTTATGTCAAGTTTTGGACAATGTTAAAGTCATACTTCGGGATATTAGTATTGTGTCTCAATCAATATTCGATGAATTATTAGATATATGGTTGTAATAATGTGTGATGTTTGATTTTTTTTTTTTTTTAAAAAAAAAAAAAAAGAAAAAAAAAATCAAACAAACAAAAAGGATTCAGGACTATCATTTATAATAGAACAAATCATTTTTATTTTTATTATTATTTACTACATTCTTTTTTTCATACCTTGTAACCCAATTTGGGTTTCTTATTTTTATTGTGATACAAGCTTTCGATAAAGTTTTATCACACCCATATATCCACTTCTTTTTTTTTTCCATGTAAATAACACCGTTACTTGAATTTGTGGACAAGCATTCATAAATTTTCTTTTTTTTTGGGTTACCTAAGAGACCTGGGTTTTTATTAAATCAACGCCATTATTTCTTTTTTATTTTTCTATTATTGTTTTTTTTTTTCTCTGTAAGAATAAATTTTTATCATTTTCTTTTTTCTTCTCATAATTATATTTTTTTTCCCCCAAAAGATAAAATGTACATGTAAATAACCAATTATGATGCAATCTAACATATAACTGGCCAAAGAATTAATTATTATGAACTATCACCAGTCGTCGTTGAATTAAACTAACATTAGACCAAAATGTGGTCACTTCATATAGAAGTAGCAAATAATTAAAAGATATCAATCAGAAATAGAATAATTTAAAATTACAATGCATTTTCTTGAGTTTTTTTTTCCTCGTTGATTGATTCTTTTGACTTGATTAACTCTTGCATAATCATTTCTTTCTGATTTTTCAGTTTTTTGAATTGAACTTCTTTCATTAATATTTCATTTCGTATATTTAAGAGACCAACCATATTAACTAGACCTTTAAACGTAATAAATTTATTATTATTTGATTATAGAAAGTATTATTCATTCATAAAAAATTGTAATTATTTACTCTGTTTGAAATGTTTTTGTGACTCCCTTAAGGTAGACGGAACTAAAAGTCCAAACCAATGTATTGGATCTCGTACAATTTGTTTTTTGGAAGGCTGCTCTGTCTTAGTTTTAACATTCGGTTCGGTTTCGGATTCCTTTATATTGCGTCGACGAAGGGTTGAGGAATTATTATTAATTTGATTAGACTCTGATTCATCCGGAATAATATCATCATTTTCCAAATACCCGTTAATCAAAGTAAATTGATAGTTGTGATCCTTTAAATTTTCTTCTTCAATTTCTGATATCAAACTACCAATAGAAATTATGAATGAAAAAAAGCGTACAACGGAAATTTTTGTAATTGAAAATACACGCACCTTCTTGTAACAGCTTGCATCCTTCCATCAAATTGGTCTTTGCTTAATCTACCAGGTCCCATAGTATATTTTGAATGAGCAAGTTGTAAATAGCCCTGAAGTTAATAGTACTTCAGTTTCGGCTGTTTTGATGTTTTTAAGTAGATAGTTTCTGTTAAGAAAGTTAACTTACACATTCTAAATCCTTGCTTATCTTTTGCCAATTTTCTTGATATATAGAAATTAAATCCATATATTCAAGTAAAACTTTGTCCAATTTTATACAAATTTCTTCCATTTTCCTTTCGAAAATATTTGTGGTGGTGATAGTACCGTATAGCACTGCCTAAGGGATCCCCTTTTCTGCGTACCCACATAGTAATATACCCGGGTATAATTCAATTTCAAATTTCAAATGAGGTAAATCGATATAGACCCGGGTCAGGGACAATGATTTATTGTGATCACAGAATTTCACAGAAAATCACAAAATTTGGTTCAAGTTTTTGGCCTAATTTAGGATTTGCAATCATTGTAATTCCGGTAAACACTAAATTTGGGCAGAATTTACGAGTCGTAATGTTGGCCAACCTTGCTTAAATCCGGCCAAATCACAAAATTTCACAGAATTTATTTTTATCACACACAAAATTTACTTTATATCACCACAAAAAATCATCGTCCCTGACCCGGGTATTTTATCATTTATAGTGTACAGTCCGACTTGATACATAATATTTTAAAAAATAGAAATCGGTTAATTATTGGGAGGGTATAATATATGCTTGCTCTTGATCAAATATAAATTGTCTTATAGCTATTAATTCTAAAGTGATAAGTTTTATTCAGGGTTTTTTTATTAAAAAAAACTGAATTATAATAAAAAGAGATAAGCAAAGATAATTGAATGGTAAAGAAAAAGGAAAGACAATAGTTGAAAGAAATGATATATAAAAACAGAAAAAGAAAAAAAAATAGTTTATTGTAATAATTGTGAAGCAGAATGTGTTCAGGAGATTTGAATTAGTTTAAGTTGATAAGTGATTGAAAATAGTGGAAAGAGGGTAGATTAAAGTTTGAAGATATTAAAAATAAAATATAAATAATTAAATTTAGGTTAAAATGTATAATAAAATAAATTTTTTACTAAATTTATATACCTTTGTTTTACACATGATGCTAAATAATATAAATAATATTAAATTTTAATAACTTTTAATTTCAATTAAAAGTTTTACTAAACTAATCAGGTTTATTTCAGATTAGAGATTAAATTGCTCTTCAAAAACTTTTCTAATATGAGTTATCTTTTATCTTGCTTTCCTTTAGTATACTTTCTAAATAATTAAAATATCAAAAATATATTTTTGCAAATACAATTAATATTAACTTATTATTCTTTCTTTTACTAATATTTACTTACTTTGTAATCCTTCATACTTTTCTTAAACTTATCTCTATACTGAACACCAGTAAAATCTGTCTTTATATTTTTAAACTGCATTACAATTTTATTCTAAAAAAGCATCTTAATATACCAACCTTCTTCAATAATTTACATTTTTTCTTTTCTCAAATCAATTAAACATTGCATTAGTAGGTAACACTCTTATAAGAGTATTGTTTACTTACGTTATAATATTACTACTTATGAGTATAATATTGTCTACTTATAGATTTTAGTGCTCTGTGGCTTTTTTATAACTAAATAGCTATCCATTTGTTTTTATTATTCTATGACCTTTTTATTGATTTATAGATATCTACTTAATTTATTGCTCTGTTATCCTTTATTTCCTTTTAGCCATCTACTTGTTTTTATTACTCTGTAACCTTTTTGTGACCAAAATGCTTAGTCAGTCTTGGTTGCTAAAAATCATGTTATAGTCAAGTGACGCAGTAATTTGATGTAAATTCACGTCTAAATTTGGTCGACACTATGATATATTTTCTGGCTAATCTTTAGAACACATAATTTGAAGAATCCAAGTTGATATTATGGTAGTATTCTGTAGCTGTCATGGAACTGGCAGGAAATCTGAGTGTTTCTATTAGTTTGCTAGTTTTAGGTCAACTTGAATGCTGAGTTATTATGTTTAAGGATCTGGCTGAATTTATGTGCTGACTGATTTTATACTGCGTCTTACTGTGTCAATCACGTGATCCTATTATGGTATCGAATACCCTTTTATAGTTATAAGCTAGTGATAAGAACATTTTCAGAACATTCCTGAAACCTGCAAAAAAAAATTAATGGTTATGCTTTTCTCAAAACTAGTAAAGAAGATTTTGAATGATATAGTTTAAAAGCTAATCTTACTGATAAATCACATTAGATAGCTTATACAATATCACTGGCTAAGTTTAATTCTACTTTTTGACTACCTATTTACCATCAGAAGCAAAGGTTGAGGTATTATACTTCTCAGAGGTATAATAGGCATTATTATGACTAGCCTATTTATTTGCTGAAAATATGCATCTTGTAACTAAAGTAACTATTGTCTATTTATTGCTGATATATGTATGCCAATTTTGTGTCCTGAGATTCAAATCATTTATAATGTATTTTAGCACCTTTTTAGACGTATTAGGATGTAAAATAGGCAGATTTTTTATTATCCCTAGCTGTCACTAGTATCATAGTTAGTATTCAGAACTAGTAACAGAACTAGTGACAGGTTTGTTATTTTTCATGAGATTATTAAGCTATTTTATTTCTTTCTTGATTAGTATCACTACTGTTATTAGTAAAAAGTAGTAATTTCTAGAAAAAAAATCAAAATTTTTCTATGCTATCCCTATGGTCTATATGGAATATAATATGATAAATCTATGGTATATATGTGAAGTATGTATATATGCTAAAAAAATAAAAAAAATTAAGAAACTCAGATTTTTTCTAGTGACAGTAGTAACACCAGTAACATTTATCAAGAAAATTTTCTTTCGGCTTAGAATCCTTAAAGAGTTTATCATTTACATCACTAGTTTTATCTATAGATATTTGCTAAACTTCCTTAAAATAATTTTGTTATACCCTTTTTATATTTTTAATATAGTTTTGACAATTTTAGCTTTCATTATATCGAAAGGATTTTGTCATATCTCTTATTATGATTTTAATATAGTTTCGTCTAAGTTTTGACTGTTATTAAGGGGTTTCGTCCCTCATCATTAGTTCTATCACAAGTTTTTTTTCCTATGACATTAGTGACAAGTTGTATTATTTTTGTTTACCTTTAAATTACTTACCAGTATCTACGTTGAAGCTAACTTAACCTGCTTTTTCTGATAATAATGTTTTCTCGATTTATATTTTTTTGCATATGTATTATAATAGTCATATCTAAATCTTATCAGCTCACTACATTCTTTACAAAGAACTTGCTTAGAATTCTGATGGACTTTATATCCCTTTAGATCATAGCATCTCTGATTGTACACTTCTCCAGTCTTAAGAATATATGGACAATAATAAAAATTCTAAGATGGATCCTTTTAGAATCACGTCTCCTTTTTTTTGCCTCCTATTTGTATATATCTATTAATAATATCAGGGAATTATTTTTATTTTAAACTTTTTCTTGCGAATAATATACCTAGCATTTTAGTATAACTATAAATTATCTTAAATTATTTGAGAAAAAATGACACAATCTAAGTTTTCAGATTTTCTTGATGTTTTCACTCCACTTTTTCACCCAGAAGCTGAAAAAGATAAAACAGAAGGCTAAGTAATTTATTATTTCAGTAAAAAATACTTGTTAAACATTCTAACTTTGGATGATATAGTTGTAGAAAATGAGAGATTTGAAGATGCTCTATTTAAGTAACAAAATATTTCATTTATAACTATTAAGAATGAGAGTTGACTAAAAGGATAAATGGAATGTATTGCTATGCATTATGTCTTTATGGTCATCTTATTAATAGTTCAAGGCACTGGTAATTCTTATAAACATTCAGGTTTTCTTCAACATTCTTGTACTAGATGGAGAGACTCTAAATGAATGTGAAGAAAAAGTGAGCGAAATTCTCTCTAGTATTGTGAAATCATTTAAAATAAAGCACATTAAAGCATTCCTTTTCTGTGAATACTATGCAGAAAAAAAGCCATATTTATGTATTTATATAAATAACACTGGAGAGAGAAAGAAAGTCATTAAAGCTATTTAAAATAATAATTTTGAAACTGCTTCAGATTATTTATGCTCATTTCACTGAAAGGTAGCCTGAGAAAATGGAATCCAACTCTCTGGGTGAGCTATAATGAACAAGTACAAATGTAAGAAAAGCAAGCAGACCAGTCCACTCTGTTTACACAAATTCTATGTGTCTATAAAAGATTTTTGTCCGCTAGAGAATTTTAGAATAATAAGTGACTGATACCACTGAACAAAGTATGTACTGGAAAAATACTACCTATCAAGAACATAGTGGGAATGACAAAAATAGAGATGTAAAAATTGGTAATAAACCAGATTTCCTATTTTAGCTCTCTTACGGGATCATACTCTTGTCTCACGTGGGATATAGAAACGCAATCACAAGAGTTTGATAAATTTGTCAAAGTACTTGATCTGAATCATAATATTTTTATGATTTGCATGACATTGTATTAGAAAGATGATCTAAAGCCATTAAAGTAAATATGTCTTATCGATATTGCGATAGAACTAGACTCATGCTAGACTATAATCATATGTAAAAACTAAGAAAATCTGCTGAAAGCATTTATCTTCTGCTGGCGAGCATTTGCATCTGACATCTAAGTTGGGTTTAACGATTTTGACTATAATTGGCTTTTTATTAGAGAGAGTATATCATCTCAATATACTCGAATGAATGTGAAAGTGAATGACAGGAAAGTTTGAAATAAAGGAAGAAATCCTAAAGTAGAAATTTTGTGAAAAGATAGGAGCAAAATCTAAAAATAATTTCAAGACAAAGGATACCGTTAAGGCTCCTAAGGAAGGTAAAAATCTCTTTCTCGCTCTCTACAATACACAAAAATTTAGAAAAAACAAAAATTTTATTTTTCAAAGAAAGCTTATTTTTTTATTAAAATTTTAATCATACAATATGTCTCTTGATATTTTTAAAAACTTTTTTACTAAAGAAGTCTTAGACTTTCAAAAACTAAAAAATTACATTACATCAGAACTGAAAAAAGACTTTGCTATCGCAGAATTTCTCTCTTACAAAATATCAGAAGTTTTTTAGCTTATCAGAAAATTAAATAAAGAATACCTTAAAGCTTTTCCAGCAGAATGTATAGCTCAAGAAATATTTCTC